AGAACGCAAATGCAAATAAATTATTCAGTTGCTTGAGAAATTTTAGCTATTTCGTAAAAATGAATTTCAAAAACATTTTATTGACACATACACATTTCGAGAGCATTTGGTCTAAAGCCACATTATGTTAAAAATATTTAAAACAGCATACGTTTAAATTTCCGATACGCAGTCTCGCGCGCTAAAGATAAAAATGTTTTTCTCGTAGAGTGTTGCCAATGATGGCTTTGAAATTTTTGAGCTTAGTAATTATAAATTCATTAAAATCTTAAAGAATGATAAATAGGTAATAAAACCAATTCTAAATTCAAAATTCGTGGGCCCAGTTCGCTAAGTACGGATGGAGGATTAAATTATTCAAAATTTGATAGCTCTAGGTACCATCGTTTATTCACAATTCGAGAAACAGTGGAGGACTCGTATCCTAATAAGAGTTGACGTCGGCGGCCCTTATCCATGGTTGCAAATGGAAGTTTCAGAGGACATCGTCCTGTCCTGGCACTATTTGCGAAACACACACGGCAGGTAACTGGTTTTCATAACGACGAAGCAATTTTCACTCTGGAAATCAGAAACAGGAGCACTGCTATCGGAAACAACTCTCTAGGCCATTACAGCTCGCCTTCTCTCGCTCATCCCAAGAGCAAGCTCGAAGTTACAATCTTAGTCCAAAAGTAAGTAAGTCCACCCAGTAAGTGATTCCAAGAGTAAGTGAGTAAAGTATCTCGCCTCTTAGTCAAAACGCGGCCGGGGAGCATCTCTCTTCGTAAATTACATCGCTTCTAACGCTCAACCTCAGAGCAAGTATCAAGAGTAACGTCCAAAATTAAGTTCCGCACGAAAATTCATTCCAAGAGTAAGTGAGTAAAGTCTTTTAAATCTTTTAGCAAATACTCATACCTCTTTAATCCCGCCTCTTAACCAAAATGCGGCCGGGGAGCATATTTGCCGCTCCCCGCCGGGAAACACCTCTCTTCGTAAATTACATCGTTTCTATCGCTCAACCCCAGAGCAAGTTTCAAGAGTAACGTCCAAAGTAAGTTCCGCAAGCAAGTCTCGCCAAGTCTCGCACGAAAAGTGATTCAAACTCGAATTTTCTTCCTCTCCTTCACAAACGCGGGCTCCCACTATGGCTTCAATTATCGCCCCCTTAATTTTGCAAAATTTGCGTTTTCAACCCCTGAATGCGGAAATAAGGGTGATCGCGCATGCGCGCCCTTCTTCACTTAGCCAACAACCGGACCCTCAATCGCCAAAACCTGAATGACTTACATCGAAGGTTATGTGGCAACCTCTAACCCTTCTGTCACGTACTTCCTGTCCTAAGGTCAACTGCACAATGAAATTTCTTCTAGAACATTCTAAAGGACAAAGCGCACGAAATTATGACTTCCTTTTTGCAAAATTGCCTCCCTTTCCCTGCTTCTTTTCACAATGAATCAAAGCTTGTACAAAAATTGCAAATAAAAGAAAAATAAATAATATCCTTTAAACTAAATAATATTCCCAGAAGCATCCGTTTTTCCCCAAAATTAAAGCATTAAAATAAATAATTCAGAATCAAATAAAATTAAGATTTCCATAAATCAGAAAATCATTCACCTAGTTTTTATAACGCGATCAGACAAATTCTCTACACAACACAAGGTATCTTTCTTTTTTTCCTCTTTCTGTTAGGAAAATCAGCTTTTGTTTTTTATTATGTAGCTACTGAATTCTATTCTTTTGTGAATGTAAGTTATGAACATTTAAAAGGAACTGTTTACGAATTTCTGAAACACAAATAATTTTGACAAAACATAAAACATGACTGCAACAACGTGCTGCTGAAACATTTCCTACGTGTTCTTTCACTTGCACATAAGTCTCTATCAATCACACTGAAAGTTTTGTTCACAGGTTCAAATATACAGTTATGATTATATACACATGTAAAAATCGTGTTAAGACAAACGTTTCGACATCAAAAAAGTATTTTTTCCCCTTTCTGTTAGGAAAATCAGCTTTTGTTTTTTATTATATAGCTATTGCATTCTGCTGTTCTGCACACTATCATGGAAACATCCGGAAGCATATTTCGAATTACGACTGAATATTCTAATGTCTTAACCTTCAGGTCTTATAAGCATTTTTATGGCGTATAGGACATACCCCGGTAGCTCCTGAGGCTTCCTGTGTTCAGGTTTTAGAAAACGTGAAATGGTGTGTGCGTGAAAGTTCAATATTTATTCTTCATTTCATAATTCTTTCTTTGCAGCAAAATTTGATGAATTTTAGCTGGAAAATAGTTAAAATTTCACCATCATGTGATAGAATTCAGTCGCTGAAGTCGCTTTTGACAAAAATAAATTAGTGCCAATTAACATTATTTGGCTTATATGCAGAATTATAGACATTTTCACCATTTTCTGAATCTGTTGTCTGAACTGCTGTATTCTATCGCTATCAACTCTACTATAAAAACCTTCTTTGTCGTTCCCTAATGAAACTTTCACTAGTTTTAAAATCTGTTAAATTATTTTGCAAGAGTTTAATTTTTAAGTTAATAATTATGAAAAATGAGGAAAGCTATCTGGAGTACAAGAATTACCTTCGTGGAGAACGTGTTTAGAGAAAGCTATGTAAGGCAAGATTCACGAAAAATTCGTGCATTTAATAAATGCGCCAAAAACTAATCGCCAGTCAAATACAGATATTTACCATTTTATTCCCTCATCCGATCCTTATCATTACTAATACAAACGAGACAATTAATTTAGTAAAATACTCCCTATTCGCCAAAAACATTTCTTCTGCCAGTGAACAAAACACTCATTAATATATGTCGAGAGTTCAAGTATTATACCTTCCTCACGCTAAGATATAGAGAAAGATTACAAGGGCCCTCAAACCCGTAAAAGTCTAGGCTGAAGAACAAGCACTAGTGACAATATTTTTGAAGAGAGGATAAAAGGATTACACTGGTATGAAACTTAGCCGTTGAAATGGCGAAAGTCTTGAAAAGGAGGATCAGACTATGGGGTAAATTGGGATCGTTAATGACTCTAAGCACGTCTTCGCAGATTAAATCGCTTATATTCATCTGAAATTATGTTCTGCTGCATCCCGTTTTCCCAATATCAGTATATTTATTACGTTTTCGATGGAGTTGAATTCAGCTGGCTGATCTACAAAAATGTATTGCCAATTTTATGCAATGAATACATAATTTAGTATATATATATTACACTTAAACGTAGCATGTTAGCATTCATTTTTGACTCAGATCTGAACATCTTTCTGAAATATTATGTCCAATTTTTCCCGATACGTTAGTGAGTTCTTTGCTTTGATACCATATTTTGTTAAATAATTTAATTAGTATACGTTTTGTGAAAGTCGGAGGGAAATTATTATAGCTACTTTCATTTAAAATTTGAAGTTTTTGTTCACTTTGCAACAAAAATAATTTTACTTAATGAAGGCTTATTATATATTAGAGCTTCATTTTTCCTATTCTTCATTGAATGAATTATAACCATACTTATGATTAACCTCTCATTTTCAGTGATTAATATCCTTTCTTCCCTTAGCTACTTTTACTCCCCTATGAGAGTTCTATAACGTAAATGTGAATGCATGCACTTTCGGCTGCGTGCCAGCATTAGCTTTGAGACTTCACTTTAATTTCACAGAATTCATGTTCAGAAGTATTATCTGTTTGCAGTTGTAACGTAAAATCAAATAACATATCCTGCCCTTATTTACATCCAGTGGAATTAATGAATCATATTTTTTTGCTGTGAGTTGATATGCATGATACAGTTAAGTGCAATTCATATGAATTTTGGTGTAGTGGCGAAACCGCTACAGAAACCCAAGTTCTAATACAGGGCTGAAATGAACTTCTAACTCAAGTCATAACAATAACATGAATTTTAATAAAATAAAAACATTAACAAATGCATATCCAGACTATGTGGGACTTGAATACATTCAGTCCCGTAATTTCAGAAATTTGTTATCAGGAAGAATGCTCTACGCTACGGGAGGAGTGATAGTTCTAGAGGGACAATATGCCCATAGCTCCAGCAGGACCTGCGCTGAACTCCCGGGGGCATTCCTTCACTCGTACGTAACAAACGTGTCCATCTCCTGACCGTGATGAAAAGACTTCTTTCATCTCTTTGTCCCTTGGAGTGACCTTCGAGGATGCAACCGTATTCATTAAAAAAGGCACCTCATTGCGTAGGGATTTCACCTATGTACTGAAAAAGGTGCTATTGCATTCTGAAATCATTCATCGTAGACAAAGAACCTCTATGCGACCTTATCACAGCATTGTTGAATTTAATCTGAGATAGATAGCTTAAGTTATCTACAAAATTTAGCTACGGTATATAGCTTTCTATTTTTTAAGTTTTGTTTCACAAAACAGAAAAATAAATCTGTCCCTTTTTTATTAATATTTTTAATTAGTACTTAAAAATCAAATCAGGCTTTTGAAAATATTCAAAACAATTTGTTATCCAAACTTATTTAGACTACCGAGTAAAACCATCAGTAGTAAATTAGTAAGTTATGAGAGCGTTAATAATTTATCTGATTATTTCGTTTTAAATTAGCAAAATACTACTATATTCCTTAAAATCGCATCGAGGCGTTTCTAAGCTTTCTTTTAATCTCCATTACATTTTGATCTCAAATAGTTTTATGGAACTTAAATTTATAGATTGTTATATGGACAAACTTACTAAATTATCTGAAATGTATATATATTGCACGTATCCACATATACACATTGCACGTATGACGTTGTATATATGCTGGCTTTTTGATGAATTTTCTAAGAGCATCTATTTTTTTGGCGATACTGAGACAGGTATGTTCCTGTAATTTAGTAATCAAATTCTATTAATTTTTCGTGCAGAACATTTAAGTTGCAGTATTTTAAGTTAGTTACTTAAAATGCTGTTTCTGTAAATTATTTCCCTTTTTTCTTTAATGTAACTAAGGCTAATTTATGTAACTAAATTAAACATACTTACATCAACATCTACTCCAACTTGAGGGAACGTCTTGAAAGCTGGATTAGATTTAGGCACGAATCGGAAGAACTCACCCATATTCTTGTACCACTTCACAGCGTATAGAGTTTCATCACCCACATCGTAACTACAACTGAGCAGAACACTGTCGCCCGTTACCACAGGAGTAGGTATATGCAGCATGTTTATCCTCAGGGGAACGTGTGGCTTAGAACCTGTGTGGAATACAAGAAATTTATTAAAATGAAGTTAAGAGCTTCTGAAATATGAATTTGTGTATATGTTACATTTGTATATATGACGGAAAATGATTAGTAGTTCAGTGAATTGGTACGATTATTCATATATGTGCGATACAGCTCCGTCTTTCTGGAGGGCATTCTCGAAAAACTGATACTGAATTTCCTTGGTATGTAAGAGTAACCACGAACTCCATACAAGCATTTAACTCATGTGTCGTAGTGTAAGTTTGAGACTGACAAATAGCTTTCAGTATACTTAATCATCGGTTGCTGATATGTTTTCAAAGTAGAAAATTCGTATGCTGAAAGATAGTAAAGATAGTTGACAAATAGAATAAATTAATCCTCCTAAAATAAACAATCTTGCAGTAAATATGTACACATCTTCTAACCTACTTTGTGTACTTGTTTCAATATTTCGCAAGAAACTTTATTTAGGTAATGGGTTATAATAATTGCTTCCTTAAATTATTACAACCATTACTACAACCATTACAAAACTTACATTTGCTATGTACTAATAAATCCAGTAACGGTACATCGTTTAAAGATAGAAATAGCATTGCCCATATAATTAGGCAAAACTCATCTTTAAGCAGGTTTAGTTTTACAGAAACTTCTAATGATTTTAAAGCTGTCAGGTATCAAAGTTCGTATAAAAAACTTCCTCATTACGTGACTTCTTTGAAATCGATGGAATTTTCTATAAGATCAGCAACTACTCAAAGATGAATATTACCAAAATCGATTTTTGCGATCGGCGTGCGTCTCATCCATATGTAACATCTTTTAGTTTTATTTTTTGTTTAACGTAATCATATTTAAGGAATTATGTGGATAAAACCCTTGACTGTAAGCATTCAGTCCCTTTCCCAACCAATAGAGTGTTAAAGGTAAATGGGACGCATATTTCGTAAGTGCACAGCTGTATCGCCACCAAGGGAGTAGCTTCTATAATGGACCAATAGGCTTCCAGTAATATTTCTGTCATTTCACATGACCTTTGCAGCCTCTAAGCAAGATAATTGAAAATGTTTTTCCATGCAATTTCCTGTATACGTAATTATAGCGACATGGATTTCTTGTGAAAATTTTCAGTGTGAAGTTAGATCAAATATAAGCATAGTTATATATGTAAATAGTAGACGTCTTAGCATTTTTTAATGCAGTCTATATGGAATGAAAACATTCCGAGATTTTCCATTAAAATCATACCAGCATTTATACGTCGTATATATTTATAACTGCATAACAAATGCAAAATTAAATGTAAACAACATTTTACTCATACGCACAGTTTAAAAGATTCAACGTCACAAGAGCAACAGAAGCTCATTGGTCTATTTTTTAAACTCCTCCCCCAGCGGCAATATTGATGTGCACTTGTGAATTATGTAAACGGAAGTTAACATATACAGTAATTTTTCTAATAATATTATAATAATAATTTTTCGATTAACATTACTAACATTGCTTTTACAAATCTCAAACTGCTATATTTTAAACAGAAGTTCGCTATTAAATTATTGTTAAAGAAGTTCATTAATGGACAGTGAATGTTCGAAGTTATTTATACCTGTACGTTTTATCGATAAGCACTTATAATTCAAAAGGTCAAATGTAATGCGACACTTTTTGCGCTTGAAATACCCTTCTGCACACCATACCCATCGATTATGCATGGCCTTTAATAAAATATATAATGATAAGGTATCTTACAAATTATACCTTGCATCAGATATTAAAAGGACACATGTGTATGTTGCGGTGCACTTCAAGGTATGGTATTCAGACCATTGAATTAAATCTTACTCAGAACAGCTTTAATAAGTTTTTCACTTTAGAATGATTTAATCTCGAATATAAGCAGCTGTCTTCTAAAAAAAGCGGATCCATTTAATTTAATTTAATTTAATATTATTTTAGAAACGACTTAAAACTACCACTCCGTCTTATATTGGAAGCTATTATTTGGACTAATACTAAATTTTTACTTTCAACCCTTCTTTTTTCGCTTGCGGCACAGCTTAAACATTCATTTGATCTTCAAACTGCACGTCCAGTTCATCCGTTTAAATCTGATTACTGTATATTTTATCTGCGTTTACATATGCAAATTTTGTTTTATATGCATCCTTTTTACTGAACCTAATTACATGCTTGGTTGGTAAATAAAAAAAGATGTTCTACTTTCAAAAAGCTTAATTGAAGTTTCAGTCAGAACGATTCTATTACCGATAATTTAATAATATCGATCATCAAGAGATTTTTTAAATGAGAAAAAAGTTTGGCTCATTTTATAATATCTTTTTGGAAATTCTGCAAGATGCACTTCAAAGTTGAAAGTTCGATTAAAAAAGGCTGCAAAAAGTAGAGGAAATCAATATTGGATACACCCCATCATCACGCAACGTTGCATAACAGGACAATTTCATCTTTTGTATCCATGACAAAGTATTTTTAATTTTTTTTCATATGTCTTCCTATACATTTGATGAATTATTGATGAAGACTCGATCCAGCATCATGTAACGAGGTGCAAACTTCAAGAGAAAGAAACGGGGAAATAAAAGTTTCTTTTAGGAACATCTGGCAGTAAGGAAAGTAATTGCTTTAATAATTCGGACTTTTTCGCAGATTATTTGCATAAGAACATCTTAAAGTTATCAATCTTAAAAACTGGCAGTCACAAAATGGCAAAAAAATTATTTTGTATTAGTTGGAAATTCGATAGAATTCGATTATCGCAGTTTTGCTAAAAGTGACAATAGCAAATAACTTCGACTGTAGACTAAATTGTAAAATGTCTTTTAGTTTTGAAAGAGTTATGGAAAAAATCAATATTTTATACTTTCTCTCGGAGTTACGTCGAAATTCACTTCCTTCTACCAGTGCGTAACATTTAAAACCATTAATAAAATATGCTTTTAAGATTATAAGTCATTTTCACCTGATGCCTTTCAGGATGCCTTCGTGGTATAACGACAGCATATTCGAAAGGTTCCAGGTTTGAGCCCCGACGAGGGCATTGCTCATTTTTCATGTTTCCTGCTTCAAAAATTCCTAATAGCTTTGCGCGTGACGTCCGAATCAAAAGGTGGTGGACCACCACTCGTCACCACCATGATTTGGCGACCGGGTTTCCGAGGGGGAGTATACAAGGTATTTTCTTCCTCATTCCAGATTGCCTTTCTGGTGTAAAAGTAGCACACTGGGCACGTATTCGAGAGGTCAAGGGTTCGTTTCCTGGCGAGGGAACGGCTCATTTTTCATGTTTCCTGCATCAAAAAAACTTAATGACTCTACAAGAGTTTAGAAAAATATCGATGTGGGGTTGAACTATATTTTCGTGTGCTATAAATTTTTATTTTTATATAACTAAGCTAACTTGAAAGTCTTAATTTATTTTCCTTATTTTTATTTATTTTTCTTCTTAAACATATGATTCTATGGAGGAAGAATTATTTTTTATTGCAAAATTTAGGAAAAGATGCTCCAAAACTATACACAGCATTTAAAACAAAGTCGCCTTTTGAGTTATATCCAACTGTTTTTCTGATATTAGTAACAAAATGTGATAGTATTTTATATTAGTAAACAAGAATGCATAAAAAATATGAATTTTTAGTAAATATATAAAAAAGTTAATGTTTCCTAAATTTAATAGTATGTAAAAGAAGTTACTATTCTAGCACTTGCGTCTTTTCAACCTCTCGCTACGTATTTTTTTTTTTTTTATCAAAGTGGGTTTCGAAAATTGCGTAATTTTTTAATTACATATATTTTAGAGTTAAAATATACAAAAAGTTTCTATTGTCGGAAATTTTAAACTGAAAAATAACCAATTAAAAGGAAAATTAATCTTGGTTAAATTATGATTTATTTTATAAAATATAATGGTAAAACGTATATACTAATGAAAATACGCAAAATATTTATAAAGCACTTATTAGAAATGAAGTGTAATATGATAAACTCCGAAACAACGCTCGAGGCATCCTATGTCGCCATCTTTGCACCAAATACGCATTTCTTTGAGAATTTTTTCGCCAGGTTTAGTTCTTTGTTTAGAAACAAACAGCACAATGTCTACGAGTTTCTTTCTTGATGGAATTGGGGGATATATATCTAGCAAAATGTCGAGCAGTTAGTCTCATGTGATTGAGAACTACAGACATCTTTGAACTTTGAAAAGAGCACGCAAAATGTGTTTGTATATTTCGCAAAAATATGGACAACTAGCGCCATCTCTTAACCCAGATCTGAATAAATAATTAAACATCACAGAAAAGCCGCAATGAAACCATGAACGGGAAAAGAGAGGGTTGCACAGTTAAATAAACGAAAGATATGCATCCCCGCGGTTGCGCAAATTTTGCTACTTTTATGTTGCGGGTTTAAATCGCGGGATACGCAGCGAGGGAGTTAATTATATAAAACTTAAAAACTCATGAAATTGAATAACATTTTAGTAAAGAGTAAAAAACTATTACCAAATTATTCGGAAAAAATAAATGCCTTTTTAATTCATATGTTCTTAGCATAAGGTTGGACAGGTTTGATAGGGTATTAATAAAATCATGCCATAAGCAAACATTGATTTTGATTTACGTTTATACATTTTATTTATGATTCTAGAGGCAATAAATAAATTACAGTAATTCGATAGAATAATTTTATTTATCAGTTACGTATGAAAATGATCCTTGAACAATGAATGTCGTTAAATGTTACCAATTAAATGCTACAATTTTCGCCGGCGGATATATTGACAATAATTCTGCTTTGGTCTTTCAAGTCCAGAGTGGTTGCCTGATATATTTGATAAAATTCTTCCTTTAGGTACATCCATAAAAGGCTGTAGAATCGTTATCCGTGGAATCATCAAGGTGAAACTAGGAGGACTGAAATACGGAATCTTGTCTTGAGATACTATTCAACAGACGAGTACCATGCTCTAACGCTTCATATTG